GCGGTGGGTCTCGAGCGACAGGTTTGCGGAGATCAACGAAACTTCGCCGAGGTTGGCCGCTGGATCTTTTGGTTTTTGTTTTTGTTTTTGGTTCTGGTTTTCTGCAGGTGGATGGCTGGCCTCGCGGTATGGTTTGACTTCTTCGACCTGGTTCGTCGGCGGCGAAGGACGGAGCTTCTGTTTTATTCCTTCAGCGGCGGTCTTTGGTCTTGGAATGAGGGGAACTCAAGCAAAAAAAAATTCAAGTATACTATGTTTGCTAACAATAGATTCATCTCTGTATGTTTGCGTATGGAATTCGGCTAGCAGATTCTATTCCTTCTAAATAACATGATTCCTGAATGTCGTGATCATTTTGGGTGACAAGAACAAGATGACAGCCACGTATCACCCTCACACAGCCACGTATCACCCTCATACAGCCACGTAGCTAACTTCAGTCCATCCTGTCAGCTGCTCCGTTAAAAAATCAACGCCGTTTCCAAAAAGGACTTGATTGCACACTTTTTACAAAATTTGTGACCACATTTAACTTCTAAAAAAAGGTAGGACCCAATTGAACATTTGTCCCCTTTCGAGGGACTAAAAGAGTTATTAAACCTAAAAATAACAAAATCCACCTCACTAATATTTTATTGTGTCTCGTACTTTCAATAAACCATGTCACTATGTCACTGAAGAATCTATTTCAAAAAAATCATAAAAAATAGAGATCAATTATATAATTAAACCTAGTGAAATAGTATAAAAGCCAAGTGTGTTACCCCTATAAATGAGGTTTTAGATACCTGAATCAATGCAAGACAACCAGACAACCAATGAAATTGAAAGAAAACCATATTCGTGAAGTCATCAGAAGCGGTCCTCCCAAATGATGTAGTGAGAATGTAGTGAGAGGACATGGCCGCGGCCGAAGTTGTTGGTAATGAAAGTTGTTGTCTACAAAACTTCCGAATTATATAATCCGGAACTAGAAAATATATATTCGTATAAGCTTTCATAATTCAACATGTGTGATTCATGCAGATAATAAATGTTTGATATCTTAAACAGAAATCTTTAAAGTTTTCACAAAAATGTTCAATGGATTTAGCAAACTTTCTAAAAGATTTAATAGACAAATTAATCAATTATGTTTTATAATAATTAATTATCATAAGTAGATAATTAATTATAATTAGCAATAATGATTTACTCACCATAACTTCTTTCAAAAGATTACTTTCTCCTATAATCACTTTTTTTTGGGTAATTCATTATTTGCAAATACATATTATTGATCAGGATCTCCACAATTTTGTTCAGTTCTAAAAAATCATTAGGAGTGTCTTGCACTATATGAGGTTGTGACGACGTTACAGATGAAACATAAAGGCTTGAGGTTAAGATATAATTTTCTATTAAGATTTTTGTATTTTTCTTTTATTAGGTCTCATAATTGTTTTTTTTATACTTCTTGTAATTAAAGATTTTTTAGTTATGATACACGGATCCATGTGTCCTATATTTATTTTGAAAATGATAGGATATGATAGGTGATATATGTATATAGAAAAGCATACAATAATTCTAAAAAACATAATAAATATATGATTATTATTGTAGGGATCCAATTAAAATCATATATATTAAGTTGTTAACATAAAAAATTATAAATTATTGTTATTATAAAAGTACTACTTCTTTATAGATTAGATATATAAATATTAGTAAAATATCTTAAAGTATTTTTAAATTTTTCATTAGAATTTTTGGTTCTTATATTTGAATTTTCACTTCAAAGTAGCAAATATTCTTAACTTCACAATTTCTCTTTATTATGATATTTGTGAAGTACTTGGACAATATTAGAAGAAGGTTGAATAGTGTTATAAGAAAACTTTTCGCAAAGGAGATAGTTTAATAGACTTGTCAAGGATTAAAAGAATTTTATATGAGTTGTTAAACACTTGATTTAAAAGTTATGTTCAAACTATAAGTTCTCAACAAATATTTTTCTGTCATTTAAACGAATTAGGTGCAACATTTTGATAAAACCAGCTTTTATAATAAAAATAATGTTTGATGACAAGAGCTTTTATGATGGCTAAGAGAGTGTGCGACTATAGAGTTTGTAAAAGGAGCATTTAACAAGATTAAAGTAATAAACACAAATATTTTTATACTAGTTTGCTCCACCGAGCTACATCTAGTCTCTTCTATGACATCTTAGAAGGTTCCACTATAATCTTCAATAAGATTACAACTGGGTATTTTCACCACCCTGATATCACCTAGTCACTCCAAGTAACCCCCGTTACTTTGACTAGAATCGAGTTTCACTCACTCCTGGTTGCGTAGTATTCTTCACCACCCCTGGTATCCCCACACACTCTCGGTATCTTCTTGATACATTGTCTAATTAAGTTTTACCCACTCCTGGTTTTCACTAGACCCGTCTAGCTACCATTTAACATCACTAAGTTAAGCGTAAATGTTTGATTTCTCTTCAGAATTTACAATCAAACAAATTGAATTGAAGTCCTTAGACCGTTACTCTCATAGAGAGGATGTGTATATAATACAATTCAATCTAATAGACTCTTAAATTTTTCTTTCTTCTTACAAAATTAAGCTTATGATTTTATGAAACTTGAGAGTATTTCTGTTTTCTTTTGAGCTTTTCTTTTTTTCAAAAATATTTTCTTTCATATTCGTGTGCTTATTCTCTTATTTTTTTTCTTTTACATTCTTCAATATATAGGCTTCAAGAAAATGTTCGTTAGATAATATTTTGCTTTAATCTTCGGATCTTTTTAGCCTTGTCGTAGGTAGCATCCGTCGGTTAAGGTCAACCTGTCAAAGCATGTATGCTTTTTTAGTTTTTTTACCAAAAGTAGGTTGTAGGAACTTTATAGCACGACTTTTGATATAGAGAACATTTCGTGAATATCTTTTTTGTCTATAACGTCCACTTCTGATTTGTATATGATTAAGTAGGTGAATACTTGACATAGGTAATCTCCATATAGTATAGTAGATATGCATGCAGACATATTCATTTTTCTTATCACTTTTGTTGTTTTTAAGCGTTGTGCATTTAATGACATTTAATGTATGTTCAGAACAACAAAGTGTTTTTCACGTTTTCTACCGTTTAGATAGGATTTGATCGTTTAAGCTTTTCACTAAGATACCAAGTAGTTGATGAAGACTTCATCGTTGGACAAATCAGATTGTTTGGCACATGGTATCATCTAGACTATGAAAATGCTTCTTTAAGTTGTTTATTTTTTTGCAAAAGCGCATTTAGCAAGGTGTATTTCATTACAAGTTTTTGGATCATTGTTTAAGAATTTTAACATACTTTCCGAAAACATCTTTTGAGACTTTTATCTATCAAGACATGTTGAGAGTTTGTTTTATCATCTCTTCATAATGTAAAACACTATAGTTGCAAATCAAAATAAATTGTGGTTAGATTTCTCTTTATATCTCCACTTAATCTGACGAGTTTTGTTCAATATCATGAAAGACACAGATTTCTTAGTGCCAATAGCTTTTCATTGGCAAAGATTGTTTACAATTACAAGAACATCGTCAAAACCTAGTGCCTACTTCAATTGGAATAGTTAGTTTTGGATTGTATTCAGTGTTCTAGTTACAATTTCGTTATCAACCTTCCTGTTGTGAAAGTTGCGGACAAATGCGACTTCAAATGTGGTCAAAAATCTTAAACCAACCAAATTTAAAATCACAAAATTTCCGGCAAAATTATGGTGTAAGAATTCCTTACAGAATCTTAAATAAAATGTCTAAATGAGCTAAGATCCCAAGGTATACCGTTCATCGAAATATATTTACTGTTATTTCTATTCTTGAACAGAGCCAACAACTTAATTTAATGAGAAGTGTTTTTGCATGTGCCTACTTCTAGTCTTATATGATAAGATACAAACAAAAGTTCTATTACATAAAATAAAAAAGATAGATATAAGTTTATATATATATATATATATATATAATATTTTCATTGGTAAAAGACTTTTTAAAGTGGTATCAAAAATAAATTAATAAGAGTTTGACCTAAAGCAGCAAACAATTTGTGTATTGACCCTCTACGTTAATGTGGTTTATCTATATCTTAAGTACAAATCTTGAAATTTATATATGTCATTTTTTAAAATTAAATGACTAAATTGAATCAAATAAAAATTATAGATCTAATTGAATTTTTTTTTATGAAAATTAGAATACCAATAAAGAATTTTAGCCATATTTATGAAAATTATAAAGGTTCTCATAATTCTTTTTGACAAAATTACAAATCTTCTAATATCCGTATACATATAAAGAGGAGAAATGAGAAGATTACACATCTATATTCATTTAACATTATAAAAATAAAATAATATAAAAAGTAAATTTTTGTACTTTTTAAAAATAGAACAAGTAAAAAATAAGGAAAAGTTATCAACAATCATAGAAAGTGAATTTTAGTATTTTTTAAAAATAGAAAAAATGAAAAATAAAGAAAGATAATATCATGAAAAAAAAAATTTTGGTAATAATATCACTTCTAGTACTTGTCTTACAAGAGACTTGAGTTGTGGTTTCACTGCTTCCTTTTTCTGATTACTTGATGATAGATTTTGGTACACACATACAAAAGAAACAACCGGAGGTGTTGTGAATATTGTTGTTATCATAGTATACAATGCCGTATGAATGAAATTAAGAAGGTAACGACAACACTAGTTGCAACTATTCATCATGCCGGCCAATATTTGTAAAAGAAATTGAGAAAGCTGCAATCAGTATTAAAATATTTGTTAAGGTATGATAAACTAATCATGCCAACTACAAACAAACGGTCATCGAAGTATCAGCCACACGGACCAGTTCCATTTCTTTTGTACTGAAATTACAAACTCTATTTTATTCATAAACCATTTCATTTTTACTCCACCCTCTTCAGCAACAAAGCTGGTGATCTCGCATAAACTCTTCCATCAACCCAAATGAAAAGACCTTCTACATCGATAGCATTTGCCACATTCCTTTTCCTCCTAAACACGACCAGTTGTGTAGAGTACGAGGTCAAGAGAACACTGATACAATTTCTGGGACAAGTCTCTGGAAAAGATGGCCAACAGAACTCCAGTTTGGTATGGAAACAAGACTCTGATCCCTGCAAGGGCACCTGGCAAGGTGTACACTGCGATGCTCAAAACATGTCCATAAAGAAGTTGCTACTTGATAACCTCAATTTCTCTGGAACACTTGATCTTGCTATGCTTTGCAACTTGCAGCCCCTGGCTGCATCTCTCACATATCTTAGCCTTGATGGCAACAAAATCAGTGGAGGGATGGCCTCTGAGGTTGGAAATTGCAAACAACTCACTCGCCTGCACCTAAGCGGAAACCAACTTGCTGGAGACCTTCCTAGTTCACTTGCTATGCTGAGCAGTCTGAAGAGATTGGACATTTCAAATAACCAGTTTTCAGGATCTTTACCAGACTTGTATAGAATCTCAGGGCTGAACATGTTCCTCGCACAGAACAATTACCTTGGAGGAACTATACCTGCTTTTGAGTTCTCTAATTTTGACCAATTCAATGTCTCCTTCAACAATTTCCGTGGCCATATTCCAAACGTGCATGGCTATTTCTCTGCCGACAGCTTTCTTGGTAATCCTGAACTATGTGGAGATCCACTGCCAAAGAATTGCTCTGATAAGCCTATGCCTTTGAGTGAGGCTCAGACATCAGAAAAATCAAAGGGTGCTTCCAAGGAGCAGATTCTTATGTACTCAGGGTATGCTGCATTGGGTGTCATCATTGTCCTTTTCGTAGTCTTAAAGCTGTGTAGAAGAAAGAAGGGAGAGAATAAAGTTGAAGCATTGAATAATAGGGTAGGGGCCAGTGGAGGTGGTGTTGTTGAAAAGCCGAGAAATGTTTCAAGTGAATACAAAAATGAGGTAAGCAGATCTGAGTTTTCAGTCCCTTCTGAAAGTGGGATGGTTTCACAATCACTGGTGGTTCTTTCGAGCCAAGCGGCAATGGAACTGAGATTGGAGGACTTGTTGGGAGCACCTGCAGAACTTATTGGAAGAGGAAAAAATGGAAGTCTTTATAAGGTGATGCTTGACAATGGGATGATGGTAGTTGTGAAAAGGATCAAGGATTGGACTATTTCAAGCCACGATTTCAAACAAAGAATGCGAATACTTAGCCAAGCAAAGCACCCTCGTGTCCTTTCACCACTTGCTTTCTATTCTTCTAAACAAGACAAGCTTTTGGTGTATGAATATCACCAGAATGGCAGTTTATTCAAGCTCCTACATGGTAAATATCACATCTTTCTTTTACTTTTGCATATTTTTTAGTTACACTTCCTTTGATGAACAAGAAATGTGACATACAAATTTATACACTTCATAGTGTTGTCAAAACGGCCAGTCCGACCATCATGGATTGATGGGTTAAACAGATTCACTCACTGGCTCACTTAATTATAAATTCTTTTCTAAAATCTAAAAAAATACTATTTTTTAATTCAAATTTAAATAATTTCACTCTAAAATAATATTAAATTCCAAAGATAATTCAAAATAAAAAATTAACAAGTATAATCTAAAAATAAACTCAAAAAGTGAATAAATAAGTTTATAATATTGATATTTTTTGTGTTTATAATATTAAAGTCTTGAATAGATAAATTTATATTATTTTACTTTTTTGTAACATCGTTTTCTTTATTTTCATTTACAATACAATAAAATAGATATTAATTAATAATATTGAAACACAAAACAATAAATAATTAAATTAAACTAGGTGAGTTAGTAAACCCGGTTTATCATAGATTCAATCCAAGTAAGCTGAGTCGTAAGTGAATCGAATTAAAAATGGATTCGTATAAAAAAAATATTTTTTTTAAATTCAATCCCACTCAAAATCCTAACTAACATACCCACACTAATTCATATACTAAAATATAGCATGTGCTATTCAGGTACTACAAAAGCCTTAGACTGGACCAGCAGACTTGGGATTGCAGCAACAATTGCTGAGGCATTAGCTTTCCTGCACCAAGAGATAGGCCATCATGGTATTGCTCATGGAAATCTGAAATCCTCCAACATTTTGCTAAACAAGAATATGGAACCATGCATAAGTGAATGTGGCATTATGGATATGGATGATCAAAGAGGTTCAGCTTTTGGCAGTAGTAGTACTGATGGTGGTGCATCAGATATGTTAAAGGGAGATGTTTATGGGTTTGGTGTGATTGTTCTTGAACTGCTTACTGGTAAGTTAGTGAAGGGAAATGGGATTGACTTAACCGATTGGGTTCAGTCAGTGGTGAGGGAAGAATGGACAGGTGAAGTCTTTGACAAGTCTCTGTTATCAGAGTATGCAAGCGAAGAGAGAATGGTGAATTTGCTTCAAGTGGCTATAAGATGTGTCAATCCTTCACCACAGGTAAGGCCAACCATGAACCAAGTTGCTCTCATGATTAACACTATCAAAGAGGAAGACGAAAAATCATTGATCTATGAAGTCTGATTTAGACTATCAAATATTTCGATAACCCTTAATACTTGTAAGCCATACTTATAAGATGAAAAAATAAAATTAGGTCCTCTGTAAATTCATTCAAATTAACTACAATAAGTTGAAATTTGTCCATCTTCAACAATGGATCGTATCATGCCGTTGAACTTTAATTAAATATTTAGTCTATATACTTCAACGTAACAATTCCTCAAAATCTCTGCCCTTTAGTATTTATATTGACAATCTTTTTTATTCTTCTACTTATCAAAACTTTGTATTTTGATTCTTTTACCTTCAAGTTTTGTGTTTTAGTCCTCGTAATAATATTTTTTTATGTTTTAACATTTACTGTTAAAGTTTTGATAAGTAGCAAACAACAACTAATACAAAAAAAAATGAAGAATTTGGACAAATGTAATAGAAAAATATTATTCGTATATAATGGATAATACAGATAATTGTTTTTTATATAATTAATATTAAAACAAAAAACGTGAGCATATAGAAACGAAAGGGTTATCAAAGCTTCCGTTAACTATATATATTCTGTTGGTATGAAGATATACAAGCGAACTAACCGTGTCTTTTACAGAGTATTAGAAAAACTATTCTTCTTTGTATACACACACCACAAAAGATTAGCGCATATTAGCGCATATTTGTAGTATTAGTCAATAAGACGCTATTATTAAGTAAGGAGGGTTTGCATTATATAGTGAAGATAGTTTAACATGACCTTAGGATTGGATGTGTGATCTATATTTCAAGATTCCTTCGTAAAAGTCACTAAGGCCAGACTCGTAATAAACCATTTGTAACTTAGTTTAAATCTTTTAATCTTTAACATAAATTTCTTTGTCTATAAAAATTTCTTTACAATGTTTTTAACATTTGCTTTTCAAGTAGTGTTTGGTCCACCATAGGTTTTGGTTGGATTAAGTTTGAAGAAAATATAATTTGTTATTTTATGTGTTTAATTTGTATTTTAAAATATTATATAATTTTATGAGGATGTTACAATGTATATTAATTTTAAAGTAATCAAATTTAAAATTGATATTAAATTGATTTATAAGCATTCAAACTATTATATTTTAAAAATATAAATTTGAATTTAAAGTCTAATTCAATTATTTAGATTTTCATTCTATAAAACTTCAAACTCATGCTTTTATAAAAAGAAAAATACGAATATGAATTTAATTTTAATGTAATTATTTATGTTTTTCCAAGATTGAATATATTGTGTAAATATCTTTTAGTAAAGGCTCTTTATTTTTTAAACCGTAAGATTTCACGACTTGAATGTAACTTTAGATTGAGAAGAGTCAAGTTTCCAATTTCTCACCTTCAAACTAAAATATTCTAAGTTCACATCTCTTCGAGATCAAGAGTACGTATGGTTACCAAAAGACACTATGATGTTTAAGTTAACCAAATAATGCCTCAAATAATAGTAAATGTCGTAATAATAAGTACCCAAAAAAATGCCCAAATGATTATGCTATTTATAATATAATTTAGGCTTAATAGTACTGATGGTCCCTATTTTTGTCAGGTTTGTTCGAAATGGTTCTAGTTTTTTTTTTCTGTTCAATATTGTCCTAAAGAATGTAATTTATGTTTAATTTAGTCCTTTTTGCAGACGGCGTTTAAATCGTTAACGACCAACTGTCCAGCTGTGCAATACCCAAATGAGGTGACATTTAACTGCCCACGTGGAGATGCCACGTGTCCTAATCGAGAAGGTCATTCGCTGTTGTGATGATGGAAGCGCGCCAGTGGTGGTCACGATTCTTGTTCTCTCTCGCAGCGATGTTGGCTCAATGAAGAAGAAGATGAAGAGGTTGTAGCCTTGCCCTTGTGATGGATGCTGGTGGTCTTGCACTAGGTAGATGTGCAATATTAGGATTCTGTGGGTTTCTAATTTGGGAATTTTTGGACTGATTGTGTTTCGTTGCAGGTTGATGAAAGCACGAGGGAGAAGCAGGTTCACAAATATGGTGGTTCTTAGGCGCGATAGGGTTGAGGGTTTCGAATTTCTAGGTTAGGACAAACTCGCAAAGACATCGCGAATCCCAGCAGTGTTGTTTCTGGATTTTTGTGGGTTTTCTGGATTGGATTTGATGTAGGTTTCCGGTGCAGTCTATGATGGTGGAAGTGCGCTTCATGGCGGCTGACGCGAGGTTGATGGTGGAACGAGAGGATGATGGCACAACGGCATGGTGCTGGCGGCGAGGCTATGGTGGCAGCGCGAGCTGGGAAGAAGATGATGGTGAAGGCGCGCGATGAAGGTGGTGGCGCGTGGATGTGGTCGCAGCGGTGTCCTGGTGATGGTCTTTTGGGTTGCGTTTGAAGGTCTTTGGTGATTGCGGTGGCGGCCTGAGAGTTTAGGTGTGACGACGCTAGGGTTAGGTGGCTAGAGAGAAATTACGGTTTCAGTTTCTGTTTAGGCTGAAGGTTGAAGAAGATGGTGACGTGACAACTTTTAAATGCCATCTCATTTGGGTTTTGCACAGCTGAAGAATGGACGTCAATGATTTAAACATTGTTTGCAAAAAGGACTAAATTGAACATAAATTAAAAAAACTAAAACCATTAAGAACAAATCTGACAAAAATAGGGACCATAAGTGCTATTAAGCCGATAATTTATTACATTTGGTACTCTTATTTGGATGACTTAAGTTGGATCCCGTGATCTATTTACTTTATCTAAATAAATTGTTTTATCATATTTTACTAAGTTCTATAATAATTAGTATGTCATTAACTCTAATAACCCGATAAGTGATCAGTTAGATCGCTAAACATGTTTAAGTTCAATTATTTAAAATATAATCAGTTGTGTTTTTGAGTTATACCGTCCTAAGATAAAATCAATATTAATGTAATCGAAAAACACTCGGTAATATAAAATACAATTTGAATTGAATTTTTAAAATGGTAATTCGTGTTGAAGGAATGCATCTTTTTCTTAAGCAATTCGATCATAACTAATAACTATATCACTATAAAATAGATAAAAAGAAATACAATAAATTATACTATCATTACAATTTTTTTTTCATATAAGATATGGTTCTACTTTAAGGAAAAATAATTATCATTAGTTATATTAATATTTTACAATCATAACATAAGAATCTTTTTATATAGAATCACAGCGAAACAACATAAATTTATTTTCGATTTTTATCTGGATAAATATATTTGATGATTTTATTTTACCTTTTAGAAAAAAAT